AGGGGGCGCCGTGGTTGTCCCCCGCCTGCGCCTCCTTCCCCGCCCGGGCCGTCAGGCAGAGGCAGGCAGCGCTCGGACCCTGGGGCTCCCGTTTATGGGGCGGCAGGAAAGGGGCGGTTTGGGGAGAGGTGAAAGGTGCACTGTCGGGCAATTCCAACTTTTTAATTGTTACTTTTTTTTTTTTTTTTCCTCCATGTAAAAGTGTTGTCCCGAAAGCGAGGTCCCTCAGCCAGTGTGCAATTAGCCAGTGCACACGTAGAGCCGAAATACTCGCTTTAAGTTCCAGGTCTGTGAAGAAAGGGGCACCAGGTGGTGTTATACAAAGCAAGCTCACCTTCCTGAAACACAAGGACTACGTTTATACACAGAAACATGTAAAATTACTTTATCTCTAGTTTAATTCTCTCACTTGTATGGAGGATTGGTTAACTAGATCTTGACTTCCATTTAAAGTGAGAGTGCTTGTAAATTTCACCACGCATGCTCAAAGGGAGTGTTTTGTTAGCAGGGGTCCCTCTAGCCTGTGGGTAGGTATTTTAGTATGCCAATAGTATATTAGTATGCTAATAATATGTTAATACATAAAGTCCAGTTACTTTTCAGCATAGTGCTTAAGCATATAGCTGTTCTTGCTCCAAGATAAGTTGTGGGGGTTAGTCCCTCCCATTCCGTTCACCTGTCTTGCATGCCTGCTTCTCAAACACGGATTGTTGACTGCTAGGGATATGTTTTTCTCTAATTCTTCCTGTCTCAGTATTATGCAAGCTCTAGATTTTATTCCACATGTTTCTTTGTTTTATGTGATTTTCAAAAAATTACACATTTCAATTAATAATTGCCATCAAAAGTACCTAAAATATTTCATGACATCGATCACATGTAGGGGTCTAGAGCGGCCTGTCAGACGTGCACGCTGTGTTCAGATACCCTACCCATGCAGACACACAAGGAGAGATTTTCAGGGGGAAGTGAGGGAGAGCTGTGTTTGACAGCAGCACTGGGAGGAGCTTGGGAGGGCTGGAGCGTCAGGCAAGCAGAGCCTCATCCTGCAGGTGCAAGGTAGGGAGGTAAGGGCCGTGATCAGCAGGTAACTGCTGAAGGGGTCTGGTGGGCCAGGTGTGTGCTGAGCTGCACTTTGCCCTGGGCTTGAGAGGAGCAAATGGTGGGATGGGAGGCTCAGACTCTTGAGGACTGTGGGCAGCCTCACCCGGAGTGAGGTTGTGGTCTCCCTCAGAATGGGGGATGAAGATGGCAGATGTGACCTTGTGGAGGGATTCTGTGTGGGGTTTGGTGTTGCTCATAGCTTTGGGAGTGTGGATTTGGTGGCATGGGGAGTGGGAGAGGCTCACCTTAAAGCTGCTGATATCTGACCTAGTCTCTAGTTTGCTCTGAGTGCTTCATGCACATCAGGTGCAAAGGACCCTATAGAAGTGCCCAAGGGGATAGATTTGGAACCTTATTTTGGAGAACAGACTGCTGTGCTGTGGTTCTGTTTGGTGTGCCAGGCAAGTTAGATATGAAAACATATTCATCAGCCTCGGTACAAGGGGCTCTTCGAGTTAGGGACCTGCCAGGGTACAGCTATGGCCACATTCTCATCCTGAAGCCGTAGATACCTTTGCTATGCTTCCATTTGCTGTGAGAGCAAAGGTACTTATGAACCAAGTAAGAGGTTGTTGAGATTCATTCTGTTTTGTAGCCTGGTGAGAAGAGACTGTTTGGGGCAGGGAGAGCTTGGCCCTGAAGTGATGAGCTTCCAAGAGCTGTGAGGCCAGTGTGGATGACAGGAGCTTGTAGTGGCAACTGTGCTTATAAATGAAATGTGAGGTCAGGTGAGAGGTGGGACTTACCATGGAGTGGTAGACTGGAGAGATGAGGCTGTGCTGGTGAAGGGACTGTGAGAGCCACACCTAAGACTGTTTCTTGCCTTTGCTGAGCCTTAGTATGAGGGCTACATATGAGATAGTACTGTGTGGTGGTGCTCATGAGCTATGTCTTGAGCATCTGAAGCCGGTGCTCAAGTAGACTCTTACTCTAAGGAGAAGGCACGTGGTGGTGTGTATGCTGGAAAAGCCTTGCCATGAAGTGGCTGACATCTTTGATGGGCTTTGGTTTTCTGTGAGAGTGCTACAATGGCATTCACAAGCTATGTGTGGGGTGGTTGAGGGCAGCAGGAGTTCAGATGGACTTGCATCTTTGCTAGAAGGGACCTGTGTCCTGTGGAAGCTTCCCCACAGAGCAGGAGCATGTTCTGTACTTCTCTGTTGTCAGGGCAGTGTAGAGGTAACTGGCACGTGGCAACATTCATGAATCAAGTGATAATGGAGTTGAAGAGGGTTGTGGAAGCTTGTAGACCTGACAGGTATGTACCTGCAAAGGGTGTGTTGGCTGACAGAGGGAAATACTGATTGCAGGGAAAAATACCTGTGTCATGTGCTAACTTTCTGTGAGGGCAGTGCAGACAGAAGCAGAGAACAGTGGTTATTCACATGTTGCTTGAATTGTTGGTCATGGGTGGAGTTTTCAGGTGAGCTTGTAGCCTTATGAGAAAGGACCTGCTGATGGAGAAGTGCTGATGTTTGGGAGGCTCATGTAGAGAGTCAAGTGCTTGTGATGGGTTTTCATTTGATGTGATGGCACAGACAGCAGGCAGCTGTGTACAGTGGCCATGGTGAGCCGAATGAAGGGTAGTTCATGGCAATCCAGGTGGCCTTGTACTCACCTAAGAGGGGCAGAGGGGTTGAGGCTTGCCAAGGAAAGACTGTCACCTTTTCCTGCCTTTCAACTTGCTTCAAGGGTAGCACAGGCAGCAGCAGCATGTGGTAATGCTCATGAGCTGGTTTACAGGCAGGTGGTGGGTTTTGGGTGGGCTTTTCACAAAGGGAAAACAGACATGTTGGGGAAGGGAGCCTTGGAGCAGCAGCTGCTGGTGCATGATGTCTATGTTCTGTTAGGCGGTGTGATGTTGGTACTCAGGAGCCCAGTAATAAGGTGAGAGAGTAATGAGTTTTGAGGCAACTGTACAGCAGTCTGCCATTGCCCGCGGGGAGGTCATTGCAAAGATGAAGCCAGCCACTTCAGGATGGGAGTTGAAGGGATAACAGACACAAATTGAAACAAGACCATGTCAGGCTCGGTATAAGAGAACATTTTCACTAGGCAGACAGTTCAGCAGTGGAACAGGTTGCCTGCAGAGGTTGTACATTCTTGAATGTTTTCAAACCTAGTGGGGTAATAATGCCCCAAGTGACCTGGTTTTGAATGGTAGTTTGCTGTGCTTTGAACTAGATTATTTCCTGTGACCCCTTCCAGCCTGAATTGTTCTGTGGTCCAGTGGGTATATTCTTTGAAGAGTAATTTCAGAACCCAAGAGTTTTTTATGGTGGAAACTGAAAAACTTAAGAAAGACTTCTACTGAGTGGCTACACAAGTTGATGGTGGGTTTGCTGTGTTAATATTTTTTTTAACACAACCTCTTCAGGATGAAGAGAGTTAAAGGCACAATCTCTTGATGCATATGGTCTGAGTGTTACATGAAAGGAAAACACCAGCCTGACTAATGTTATACTGCCTGTTTAGGATTAAATTATAACTGTATTGTGTACATCCTCTTAGATTTTCTTTATAATATGAAAATTACTATTAATGTGTATGTATAATCTCCACCATAGAATATATTTCCCTGGATGTCATTACTATCAAATATGTATAATTCAGAACTGCTCTAGACCCCATGAAGAATTAAAAACTTAAAGAACAGCATTAAAAATAAACTATTTCCACGTGGAAATGGAAATAGTTTGCCCTTAGAGTATATGAAGATTTTATGGTTTTTACAGTACTGCATACCTTTATCATAAAATATTTATATACCAAACACCAGAGACCCATAACTAGTTAAGAACTGAGTCTGCTGTAAAAAAAAAACCAAAAAAAACCCCCAACTATAGCTATATCCTACCACAAATCTTTGACTGAAATGGTTGCATAAGTTTTTAACTGGCTTTAGTACATAAGCCATAAAAGTAACTTCAGCATGATCAAAAAATCTTTTCCATTCTAAATAGCTAATTGTTTACGTAGTTTTAACAAACAGTAAAAACCAAAAAAGAAAAATAAAAGCACGAAAAACCCCAAATCCCCAAATAATATATTTCCCACTAACAGAAAAATACCATTTACCTTTGAGTTTTTTTGTTAATATCTTCCTATATTTTTGCAGTAAATATTAATTTTGAAGAAATTAGCATTGCTCTGTTAGATCATGTTTGGTAAATACAGTTGCTAAACTTGTTTCAATTGGTAACACACAAGGTATTCAAGGTTTCAGTTAAATTGTTTTCATGTCTGTGTGTATAAAATGATTGCTGTAATTCATAGCTCAAAGGGAGAATGTCAAGTTTCAGTAGAATAGAGGGAGTGGTTTTATGTTCAGTGTAAAAAAAAATGGAAGTTCGGCACCACATTATCACTAGATATCCCTGAAATTCAGAGCTTATAAATTCAAAACATTTTGACCCTTATTCTAGTAAAATCATCAGATCTTTATGTAAAGAATTTTTTACAAACAGAATTCAGAGGAACAACTTCAATTTTTTTACTGTTGAGTGGGACACTGCTGGTGTCAAGTTCATGCAAAAATGTAAAAGTACCCCACAGTTTAATAGCAAAGCTAGTATTTTTTTAATTATTCCGATAGTGACCTTTCTCCTGAGCCTTGTGCCCACATATTTCTTGTAAACTTTAGTAATAAAAATGGTATTCAGTTGATGTGTTTACTTTTGTGATATATTTCTGAGACAGAAATTTCATCCTTTGTTTAGTGTTCCTAGGATGTCTGAGATTCACATTCTTTGTGGCTGTGTTCACACAGCTCTCTAAGAGGCTGCTCACAGATAAATTTGAGGTCAGATTTTTGAGTATTCACAATGTCTATTGACAGGACCACCCATGAAGATATGTTGGTTATATGTTTCTTGGCATACCAGGCATACCATATGTTTGTCTTTCACTAGACACCTTCTTGGGTAGCTACAGTTTGTAGTGCCCCAGGTCTACTTGCGCTTACTCCAGAAGTCTGCTCATCCCTCCATACCACTATACCCCTCTGCTGTGCTAATGTATTGAATAATTATATGTTCATGTAGACATAGTACTTTCATTTTATAGGGTTTGTCTTTTAGACTGTCAGAAACCTAATTAGACTTACAAGCTGTCAGGTAGTCCACAGGATTCAAAACCTGAATCTAAGGAGTGAAGACATGTGACTGTAGATTTTGTTTGTTGTGATTCTATTTGTGAGACCAAAACAGAATATGACCTGGAATTCTTTTTTACTTCTTCCTTTTGCTGAAAACAAGTTAGAATATCCTAGCTAGGAGAGCAGGCACATTAATTTATTCTCATTGACCTCCAACTAGGAAAGATCAGACCACTCAAGAACACTAGCTTCCTCCTTCACTGATTTCTGTCCCCAGATTGCCCATTCAGTTGTGAAGACAAAGCTATTCCTAGGGCTGTGCTGAGGATGGTGCCAGCAAAGACTTGTTGTTGTGTCATGGGGTGAAAATGAGCAACCACAGAACAAAATTATATAAGGCATACTGGTCATTAGGACTAATTAATGAGAGGTTGTGAGTCAAGAAGTAAGAGATGAGGCAATTGGTCACCATGGCAGAAGAAACATCTTCATGCCACACAAGTAAAAGAGCAGGCCAGAAGAACAGTTGAAGGGTTTTTTAGTAGAGAGTTATCGTTCGAGAGGGGTAGGGAGTTGTGATATGGGCCAGCCAATGAGGTGGCCTCATTCATACAAAAGTTACTGATCCCAGCTGAAAGATTGTGTCATGACTCGTGAGTGCTTGGGATTCTTGCGATCAGCAGATCTAGTATTGACTGCAGTTGTGCACAATGGTTCTGTGTTTCCAACAGCCAGGTTAAGCTAGCATGGCTTATAAGATGAGGCTAGAAGTTGTCCCTGTGGTGGTGTTCTCCCTTACACTCCACATGTAGATGTGCCTCTTTTCTTGCCTACAGTCAGATTTGTCTAGTCCTCTTCTATGCTGCTTTGCTCTTGCAAGTAAAAGCTTGTCATCAAGATGCCATGATGTGCAGCAAGATCAGTGAATGTGATAGAGTGGCAGTGGACAGAAGTACTTGAAAGGCATAGTGCATGGGTCACATAGTGAGAGTACTACAAAAAAGGGGGTTGTGGAAAAAATGAAATTATTTCTGAAAAGACTGTGTTGGACGTGCTTGTAGCTAGGGTTGATAACTGAAAGCTGATACTTAACTGACTCATTAAAAACTCTCCTTGCACATAGGAAAAAAAAAAAAAAAGATTTTTACAGATCATTGAGAGAATATGTGAATGAAAACAGAACGAGTGAGGCTGAAGAGAATGCTGTTACCCATATTCCTCAAACTGATGTTAGAATAAATTTTATAGTGTATAAAATTATACATCTAAACAGAATCATTATAGTAAATCTTATGTATAGGCTGAAATAAAGCTGATACTAACTGACTCATTAAAAACTCTCCTTGCACATAGGAAAAAAAAAAAAAAAGATTTTTACAGATCATTGAGAGAATATGTGAATGAAAACAGAACGAGTGAGGCTGAAGAGAATGCTGTTACCCATATTCCTCAAACTGATGTTAGAATAAATTTTATAGTGTATAAAATTATACATCTAAACAGAATCATTATAGTAAATCTTATGTATAGGCTGAAATAAGTCCAAACACTGAAAAATGTCTTAGATGCTACTTTAAAATAAAATCCATAAATTTGTTAGTAAGTATATGTGTGGTAAAAAGATCAGGAAAGAAGAATGATATTGTAGAAATTAAGGTATCTGAAACAAGATACAGCCTTCATTTTGACCAGGAAAAGGGATTAGTGTCATACTTGAACTGGATAGTGTACATACCAGCAGGGAGCAGGTGCACCTTCTCGCTTGACTGAGCTGCTCTTCTCGCCACTTGATAATCCTTCAAGTTTCAAGGGGGCTGAAAGCATGTGTGCTGATGGCAATGCCATATTTTAAAATTCTCTGATGAACTCTACCTTTTGTGTGTATGTGTGTTAGCAGAGAAGGCAGTGGAATTGGGGCCAGCAGTGTTTGACAGAATATATAATGGTCTTGTACTTGAAGATTTAATTATTCTCTGTTACGTGGCTTAGAATCCAGTAAAATCTGTAAGCCTCATGGCACAGAACACACTGTACCTGGCGCTGTGCAAGTACACAAAATTGAGCACTGGAAAGAAAAACTTATTTGTTTTTATTGTTTGTTTTTTTAAGTCCTTCAACTCGTGAAGCTGTGAAGTTACTTGACTGCAGCTTCTTCAAATTCC